TCCTTTGAGTGAATTTTTGTTTAAAATATTGAACGACAAATTTAGCAAAGAAAACTTAATACTTGACCCTTGCGTAGGAGGAGGCCAGTTATTACTTCCGTGAAAAAATGCTGGCTACAAAGTAGAAGGAATCGATATAGAAAATAAAGGATTTATGGGAGTTAGAGAGCTGGATTATTTGCTAAGTAAAAAATCAGATTATCAACAAAAACCTGGTTTAATTCTTATTAATCCCCCTTTTAATGTGCATAGAGATGTTCAACCGCAAACTTTCGAGTATTTTGAAAAAAATGGATGGTCACGGCGTCCGCTATTGCCGGAAGTTTTTTTGGCTAAAACAGTAGAACTTTTTGGTAAAGAAGCCTCGATAGTTTTGTTTACTCCTTACGGAATGAGGCTTAATTTGACCTTAGATTCAAACTTAGAGAGTAAGCGACTAAGCAAATTCAATGACCACAAATATCCTGAAATAACTAGTATAATTGCTTTACCAAAAAATATTTATAATCTCGACAAAAGAAATGTCGAGAGAAGTGAAAATGGAAAAGGAGTATTCTTTCATTCCGAAATTTTACTTTTTAACATAAATAATCTGAAGTCACACTATTTTCTTTCGCAAGATTTGATAAAAAAAAATTATGAGAGACCTCGGAATTAATAAAAGTAGTTTTTTAGAGTTGGTTAAGAAGAGAGATTTTCGTTTGCCTTCCTTTCAGCGTGAGTATAGTTGAGAAGAAGAAAATTGAGAAGAATTTATTCAAAGCATCACCAATTTTATTGATAATAGACAAGGAGGCACTCAAGAATATAATAATCTAAATCAGGATGAGTATTTTGCTGGTGACATCATCTTACAAAAAGGAAGTGAGAAAAATGAATTTTGTCTGATTATTGACGGTCAGCAGAGATTAGTTACCATATTTATTCTCCTTCGGGTCATTTTCGAGAATTTAGAAAAAAAGGATGCGGGAGAAAAAACAAGAAAAGAAATTAATGAAATACTTTTTTTGTATAAAGATAGAGAAAACAAAGAAGACAGTAAAAAGAGCCGCATATCTCTGAATAATTTCCATGATAAGCAGGAATTTGAGGAAGTAATGGGCTTTTTTTCAGGTTCTCAATCAATAAAGACCAAAAAAAGAAAAAAACGTGGTAACGTATTGGAGGCCAAAGAGTTTTTTACTAAATTTTTCCAAGCGGAAACCGATTACCAAATTCTGGAAATTTATGAAGTGATAATAGAGAATTTTTATTTTGCGGTGGTAGAAATTCAGCATGATGATCAGGTGCAAGAACTTTTCACGGCCTTGAACAATACTGGATTGAATTTGAGTAACTCTGACCTTTTAAAAAGTTTGTTGCTTAGAAAAATCAAAGAGTCTTCTGTCTTTTCGCTTTCCGAAGAAGAAATAAATCGGATTTGAGAAGGTAATATAGTAGAAATTATTAGTGATGCTAGCAAAAGACAGACCATAAATCGTGAAATGGACCGTTTTTTGGTCGATTTCTGGTTAGCTAAATTTGGTGAAAGCGAACCCGCAAACAGAAATAAAATCGCTAAACCAACCAAACTTAGCGTGTATAACCTTTTTGATTACAAAATTAAAAGTGATGGCAAAGAAGCATATAAAATGCTTAACTTGCTTGTTGAATATGCGGAGGTTTATAAAAATATTAAAGACCCCAGCATTTCTTGATGGAGAGAAACTTCTTGACCAATCGAAATTTTTTATATAGTCAGTGATATTTCGCTTTTGAATCACTCCCAATTATTTCCGGTTATTCTAAAAATGTATTTCCAATTGGAAAATTGTTCTGAAAAAGAAAAAAAAGTCGCTACTGAGGAATTAAAAATCGCTTTACTATTTTATTTCCGGTGAATAACCATAAAAGGCAAGTCTCCGGGCGAAATTCCTCGTTTCATTCCTTCAATATTGGAAGAAATTGCAGAAAATAATAGGTTATTTAACAATAAAACAAAGCAAAAGTGACTGGATAGAGAATTTAATAAGG